GGCCGCGGGGGACGCCCCCTCGCGCGGCCAGCCCCACGGACAGGCAGTCCTCTGGGCCTGTGCAGGCGCGGACAGCCCCTCAGTCTCCAGAAAGGCCGCCCACAGCGCCTCCAGCCACAGGGCAAAGTTCAGCAATGCGGACGCCCCCGACCCCCGACGCCGCGCTGGCCGGTCCGTCCGCTTCAGCCAGGGACTCCCGGAGGGCCACGGCGGAAGGCCCAGGCCGCCCCAGGCCTGCACGCCCCCTGCCTGTCCCTACAGGCTGATGACCAGGAGCCGGGCCAGCGGCGCGGCCTCCTCCAGGGCCTCCGTGCTGAGGGGGACAGCTCGAGGCCCTCAAGGGCGAGTTCGGGGTCCTGAGCGCGTCCTTTGGCGCCGCGTGGACTGGACCCCAACGGCAGCAGGGGCCTGGCCAGAGGCTCCCCATGGCGGCGACACGGCTGATCGGCCCGAGCGGCGGCCTGCGCACCCTGCCAGGAAGGTGCCGGAACAGCCCGCGAGCGCCCCGGGCCGCCCGGGACGGCACGGGGAGCGCCGTGGTGCCACCAGGCCCAGGCAGCGGCCGAGGAAGGGGCCTGGCTCCCCAGGCCTGCAGCGAGGCCGCCCGCGCCGCCTTCCTGGGAGAGCAGGCGTCACCCCCTTGCAAAGCCCCACCAGCCTCCCTGAAACTGTTCCGCTGGCCGGTAAGTTTGTTACACTGAAGAGCCGCAGTCACAGTTTCCGAGAGGAAGCAGACAGAACCTTCGGCGTCAATAATTTCCCTCCGGCGGAACTCCAGAGCCTGTCAGTCACCAGAAAGACCCTTCTCTGGGGGTGCAGTCTGCGCCTCGGAGTCCTGGAGACGCCGCTCGCACTGCGGCAGCAGAGTGCAGACTCACGGGGAACACGCCCCGGGGCACCGCAGACCCGTCTCCCCGCTGCACCCCTCAGCAGTGGATGTCGGCCCATCAGCCTGTCCTGCTCAACCCCCCACCTCTGGTCTGCACCCCAGTTCTCCTGTGTATCAACCTGGTAAAAAGAAACATAACAACTGCAGCCCGCCTGCCGGTCCTAAGCAAGCCCTGCCAGGACTGGGGTGCCGCCCTGCCTGCGCTGGGGTCGCCGGGAACCGCTCTGTGCCAGACCGCGCCTGCAGCAGCCGTCGCCCACTACCGGGGCGCAGCAGTGTGGCCCTGCAGCTCCCCACTCGGCGCTCGGGGCCTCTCGCCTGTCCACGGAAACGAGCCGGCTGTGTCGGGCAGAGGGTGCCGTCCTCCAGGCCCGCGGTCTCCAGTTCTCACTCTGCTCTGGTCAGGGCCCCACGCCCATTCGTGGCTCCGAGCCACGCGGCACAAGTGAGTTCACTGCTCGCAGCCACACTGCGTGGCCTCGAGAACACGTGCAGGCCCCATCCAGGGCAGCCTCGCCCCTGGGGGGGACGCGCCGCGCGGCGGCAGGGGAGTGCGAGCACCCCAGGGGCGCACGGACCTTGCGGCGCCACCTGCCAGTTCATCCACGCCCGAAGGCTCGGGCGCCCACGCACAGGACCGGGCACAGGCCGGAGGCGCAGCGGGGCGGCAGGGGCGGGCAGGCGAGGTGCGGTGCTGGCTGCCCTGCGGGTCACCTCGGGGGCTGCGCCCCAACGTGGCGCCACCAGGGAGGCCCCGACTTTGCTATGTGAAAGACCAGAAGAGGCAACCCAGGGAGGCTCGGTCGGCCAGGCGGCCGGGGCTGCCCTCGGGGGCGGCTGCCCCGGCGCCTGGGGCCCCTGCCACAGGGGCGTGTGCACGTCCCGCCAGACTGCAGCCCTCCTCCTCGCTTTCTGAGTGACCTTCACCGGAGCGGTAAACCCGTTTTCTCATTTTCAGGGTAACAGACACACGCAAGAAGCACGGGAAGCAAAGCCACAATGTACGCGGCCCGGGTACCCCAACCTCCGAACTGAGGGGCTTCGCGCGCGGCGCTGAGGAGCGGCCTGCGACCCAGCGGGGCCAGCGTGCGAGGGGACGCTGTGGCCGGCGCTGGGCTGCACAGAGGCGGGCTGCGCTGGGCGCCCGCAGCCTGGAGGGGCTCAGCCAACGCCCCAGGGAGGCGGCAGGGCCGGGCCGACATGAACCAGGGAGCAGCCTTGGTTTACCGGGGTGAGCGCCTGACTCTACTGACAGACACCTTCTCACTGGCCAGAGCCTGATTCCACAGCGGCCGGTGACAACCAGGCCTCAGGCCCAAGCAAGCAGGAGCGAGGCCCGTCCGAAAGCCAAAGGGCCCATCCAGACGGCTGCGCTCGAGTCACAACGGCGCTGAGGGAAGGCGCACACACTCAGGCGACATCCCAGCCGGCACCACGTCCGTGCGGGCACGGAGGAGGGAGAGCCCGACCCACGCCGCCCGCGGCGCTGGGCTGCAGGCAATGGCTGTCCGACAGCGTCGGGGCGGGAGCAGCTCGGGGAAGTGAGTCCCTGGGCAGGGGCAGGGCCCCACGCCGGGCCCGGGAGGACACGACGGCGCGCGCTTGGAAAGGCGCTGGACGAGGCGGCTGTGGCGCCGTGGGGCTGTCCCAAGCAGGCCGGGCAGACCCACCTTTGGGAGGGTGGAGACGGGCGGCTGAGAGTGGAGGGCGGGAGGGAGGCCGAGGCGGCGGGCGCGGGGCGCGGTCC